GTGGCAGCTTCGGCTTCTATTCCCAGGTTTCCTCTGAGCAGGGCTTTGCACTGGGGTGTTGGGGAGGGTGGCAATGGGAACCAATCTAGGACAGTAAGAGAGGAACAGGTCAGCACAAGGCCCAAGTCCAGGCAGGGACACAGAGCAAGCCATACAGCCTGGTGGCCTAGAGGCCAACACCTGGGCCCAGACTCAGTTTCACTTCTCAAAATGGGGGAATGTTGATCTGAAGGATTTTCCTTTCAGGATTAAAGGGAATAATCCATGCAGCCGACAGCACTTGGCCGGGAGGTGAGCTGCATTCTCAGGCCCCCGTTACCAGCATCAGGGGCAGAGGGCTCCCCAAGGAGCCAGGGCAGCATCAGTTTTCCTTTTTGTATTTCCAGAAACTCCAGAAAGGAGCTGGGAGAGGGAGTGAGCATGAAATACCAAATGTGCCCTGAGCGCTGAGGGATGGTGAGTTGCAGCTAAGGGTCAGCGAAAGGCCAAGAGCTTGTAGCTGGTGAGCAGGAGGAGGGCACATGCGCCCCAGCAGGGACCCAAGGAAAACTCACAAAGCTCCATCAGAGGTGGCTGGCCCTTCCTTGGCACTTTCCCTGGGCATGTTAGCGCTTGCAGAACAAGAGCTCTCATCTCAGTTATGTTTACTTTTGGTGGATATTCAATAGGAAAAAAATGAATCATTTCACATATTCTATCAGCAGACAAAAGCTTTCAAACAACGGGGAACAGAGAGTGAAATGATGGGACTGACCACTTCCTTAAGCTGATGTGGCCATCCTGGTGTATTACACACTCACATTTCATGAATTTGCATGCACTGGGATTAAAAACAAAAACAAAAAAAAACACAGCCCGACCAGCATGGCTCAGTGGTTGAGTGTGGACCTATGAACCAGAGGTCACAGTTCAATTCCCAGTCAGGGCACAGGATTCTGGGGTTGTGGGCTGGATCCCCAGTGTGGGGCATGCAGGAGGCAGCTGACCAGTGATTTTCTCTCATCATTGATGTTTCTCTCTCTCTCTTCCTCTCCCTCCCAGTCTGAAATCAATAAAGAAATATATTTTTTAAAAAAAGAACAAAATAACAACACAACAGAATCTCAGTCCTAAAAGAATGAATTGAAGGCCAGTGCTGTGCAGAAGGGAGCGTTCCTGTTGAGTGAATGCAATGCAAAACCAGGCTCCCCAGGTAAGGAGGGAGGAGCAGCAGGAGGTGGAGCTAGTCTAGGTGCCCTTCCCCCACCTCCCGGGCTCAGAGAATAGCTCTCTTTGTTGAGGGAATACACCTGAGATGAGCCTTCTCTCCCTCCATTCCACTCCAATTTGCTGGCCAGGTAAGTCTTTCCAGGTGCCCCAGTGGGAATCAAACGTCCAGCGTTAACTCACCGACTCCCACACGAAATCAGAGCTTAGCCCCGGTCCTTTCACTGAGAAGAAAGAAGGGAAATGGACACTGCCCTCTGAGGTGCCAGACCGAGCCCGCATGGAAATGTTTCTATGCCTCAGACACAAAACCATTTATTTTTGGTCCGTTTCAGTATTTACAGCAGTCAGTGCATATGTAATACATTTCAATCCACACGAATAGTTCCCAATTGTGGGAGCAAATTAATCTTTTACAAGCACCTCAGCAGCGAAGCTAGAAGATACACAGTAGGTGAAACAGCACGCGCTCCCCTGTGCGTGAGCCTTCCTATTACAATAAACTCCCACACCGCAGCTCCCCACATCCAGTCCCCGCCGCTCTCTCTGCTCCTGAGGCAGCCCAAGCTGCCCCCTGCCACCGCTGCCCTGCTGGGGGAGTTCTCTGATCAGCCACCCGGGTGGGGACATGCTGCCATTTTCAGTTTGCAAGGAAGAGCCTGCAGATCTGCTTCCTGGAAGACAGACATTGCTGATTGTCGTCGGCCGCCAGAATGCAGGAAACATCCATTTCAGCGCCTTGCCTCAGCGGTGGAAACACCTGCCACTTCCTTTCTCAGCTGCAATTAACATGCTGCATCTCCGCAGTGATTGACTCCGAGCCGCCTAGCACAGCCAAATCAAGGTTTAAACGAGAGAGCATAACCTGATATTATTTTTCACAGTTTTAGAAACACGAACTTATTTGTGTTTTTATTGCCAAAGCAGCACTACAAGAGATGGGGCTGCAAGTCTTTATGCTTAAGATGAATGTAAGTAGAATAGGTTGACGCTTATAATAAAAATACTAGTTCTGTATCTTTGTATTTATTTGGGAATGGTACTCGTTTATGTTTGTATTCTTTTGTGTGTGGGCAGAGTGGAGGAAAAATATTCTTTCTGTATCCCAGCACCTGGCACAAGGCAGCAGAACCCCGGTGGGTATTTGGAGAATGTTTCTTAAACAAATAGATAAATAAACGAGTGGTTTGGGAGAGCAAGCTTAAGAACCGTCCTCTTGGTCCAACTTATGAAAAATTCTGAACTTAAGACTATCATGAGTTCAGCCAGTGTGGCTCAGTTGAGCATAGACCTATGAACCAGGAGGTCATGGTTCGATTCCCAGTCGGGGTACATGTCTGGTTTGCAGGCTCAGTGTCCGGTAGGAAGCAGCTGATCAATGATTCTCTCATCATTGATGTTTCTGTCTCTCCCTTCCTCTCTGAAATCAATAAAAAATATACATATATTTTTGAAAAAAAGACTATCATGAGCCTTTGGTTTAGCTTAGAAGCTGTGTGAGACTATGAAATAGGACCTGAGGCTGGCTGGGGCTTTACGTCTCACTCAGAGTCCTACATTGCTTAGCTTTGATCACAAGTGATCTTTCAGGGGACAGTGAGGGCCGTGTCTGTTTTCATCATAACCTTACTCATACCGCATACAAAGAAACTGTCTTCAAAATGTACAATATTATACATTTTGAGGGTCTAAGAACGGTCTCTATTGTGAATAAGAAATGGAATCACTTAAAATACTTTAACAGCCACAATGTTTGCGTCCTTTTGGGAATGATCACTGAAATAGTTTCTCTGTACTGGTGAAATGGAGGGCCAGTGCAAGGATGAGATTTATGTTTTAACTTGGCCAGATAAGACAGGGTCTCAAACCACAGAGTACAGTCTTTGGAAGAAAAAGTGAACAAATTGCTTCTCTCATCTATTAACAGAATACGAGAGCCAAGAGCTACCTTCTTTCTTGGCCTTCTTAGGAGAATCTTTCTTTTAGATGGAAATAGAACAAATTTAAATAAGTGGCAGTTAATTCTTTTGTACAATGACAACCCAGACACTACACATTTGAGCATCATCTGTCAAATGTATGCAAGTATCCAAAGTGCACTTGTATATAACTGACAGAAAAGTCTGGGCTTGAATAGGTCTACACATTCCAGAATGAAAACTGAAGTTATATATCTCCTTCTTAAAATAGTTAATATTCCTGCACATCCATAGTCTTACCTCCAAATGCCTGGTGGCTGGAAATATTAGTTTGACTAGCTCCATAAATCTTTAATACTACATAACTCTCTGCCCCAAACATCTGAGTTATTTGTACTAGTATATTAAATAGCTTATGTACCAACATCTTAGTGAAAATAGGTCTTCTCCAAATTATAACATAGGAAAACCAGAATTATGAGGAAATCATATTAGCAATTTCCACCAAATAAATAAAATAGATAAATAGCCATAAGAGACACAGTTTTCATAGGTAAATAGATAGGTAGATAGATGCCTATACATGTTTCCTAATATTAGAATTCAGGCACTAAAAGACTTGATTCTGAAAGAAAGGAGAAGGGGGAAAAACCCTACAACGTTAGGAGCTTGATATACATGGAAACGATGTGTTTTAATATGACCCAAAACATTGGCCTACTCGGGAAATCCAGTTATACTTGCTATTTCTGGCTTGTCGGTTGGCCAGGTCCATGTATATAGACAGCATCTCAAACAGAAGTGGTTCATGGCTCAACTCAAATTGAGGGAATTTAGGTCTCCAGTCAGAGCTGACTGTTGCAAAGCACCTTTTGTCCAATGACACATTTAAACACTTGCAGAAACGAGAAAGGCCAAACATACAGCAACAAAGGGTTCTCCAGTCCACCTCTTGTCAATGACAGAGCGAATCTTCAAAGAATCCCATCGAGGGAGAACAATCAAATACTTTATGACAACAGATCACCATTTGAAATCTTTTCTTTGGTTCCACATGAACCATCAAAACATCCCAGGAATTCTACATCAGTGCACAAACTCCATCTCTCAGCTTTCCTTGTACAGTACATTGAAAATGTCATTACGAAATCCATGACCCAGCTTGGGATTCGGTAAATGGTGTCACTGCACTCAGCTGCACCTTGAAGTCAGAAGTGGTTCTGTCCTTGTCCCGTGGGTTTCTGGGCAACCCCGGAGGCGTCTCAGAGTCACTTCTCTGTTTCGGACCCAAGAAGACCACCACTGGGACAGGTTCCTTGCCTTGGATCACCAGCGTGTGCATTTTTATGGCAGCACCAATCTCAGCCATAATTTTATCAACAAATGAAGGCATTTCCCTTTGCTATTCCCAACAGTTTTTTTTTTTTTTTAAATATCCATTTTCTAAAAATGCTTTCCAGTATGTCCCAGGGACCATAAGGACAGTGCTCTGAGAATAAAAAGCCTTTCTAAGCCAATAGTACTTGGTGAAAACTAGTGATCCTGTTAGTACAAAGTTAAAGTTTTATTTCCTCTCTTTTTAAATAAAAGTAAGGTTCAAATGTTCTATTAAACTCTCATTGCTTATGTGTATTATATTAAGGCTTATAAATACACCTGGTAAATTAAATCCACCCTGGATTGAATCAACACCTGCTATGTGAGTTATTTGCTTTATGTAATCAGTAATCTCAAGGTTTCTCCTCTGTCGCTGGAAACAAAATTTAAATATTAACCTAATCTTTAAACTACTGCTGCTTCCTTCTGACATTTGGGAACCAGTCATCCATGCAAAAAAAAAAAAAAAAAAAAAAAAAGGCAAATATGGATATATTCATGAAAAGGCAGCTTCTTAAAAAATCTTAAGATGTGCAACTCAATGCACTGGGCAGATACATGGTAAGAAGCAGAAGGCAAGTCCATCTGTGTCACCTTCTAGGGTAAACAATGCTGGTCACCTGCCAAGGTCACCTCCAGTCAGAGAGATCTGCTGAGGTCGACTGCCCATTTCAAAAGAGTCTTTGTATTTTCTTCACTATAATCTCTGGAAGGATCTGGGGCAGCTGTAGCACGTGAGAGAATTTCAATTTTAGAAAACATATTGCCGTATGGTATAACTCAAGTCGCAGGTCTGACAAATGCTGCCACAGGAAGTAGGAGTGTGTGAGGTGTGCGGGGCAGGATCCGGTCCTTGGCTGGCTCCGAGGGGGAGGGCCCTGCTCACGTCCTGCTCAGCTGACAGCCCCTGGAGAATATGAAGCTTTCAAAGCGCTGGTCTTCAGCCTTTTCTCTGATGCGCTGTTCCTCTAAGGAATCCACAAGTCGGTCCCTCTGCTCAATCACTTGCATCATCTCAGCGAATATTTCTCGCTCCTCATTTAGATCGTTCTCATCTTTCTGGCTCTCTAAAGAAAGAGAAAAACAAACAAACATCGGACTCAGGTAAGATTTGGCCACAGGAGAGCTTTTGGCCTCTGCGTTCTTGATTGTCCCGGACTTGTGCTGCCCTTTAATTTCCATGGAGAAAACAAGGAAAAGAATTGAACACCAGGGAACTGCCCTCGAAGCCACAGATTAGAATGGTGGGTGCTTTGTGCTGCGGGCAGCTCACTTTCCAACTGGAGACTATATATAAAGTGATGGGGAGAACCCCTTTGTGAGAAAAAGAAGGTAATACCAGCCAAGCCCTACCAAGGCCTCCCCCTCCCCTCCTCTGCACAAAAAAATATCCACAAACAACAAAATGTCTGTTCTCCCTAAACATGTCTGAGCTGCAGCAAGCAGAGTTTCTAAGCAGACTGTCTGCACCCGTGGCCAGTGCTTCAATTATGGGAATCCTTTTTCAATTTGTAGCTAATGACGAACCATAGCCCTTTGGGTAGAGACCAGGCGGAAGCACAGTGAGGCACAGCTGGCCAATAGGAGGATGTGACTGCTCTTCCCCTTAGCCTTTTGGAGCACGTGACCCGCTTCCTACATAGCCTGAAATAGCCACTTGCCTGGGGGAGATAATATTGTTACAGGGAAAGGGTAAGAGACAGGTACTGCAGTCATGCCTTTCTGACATTCAAAACAGGACTTTAAAGCCAAATTTAAGTCTTGTCAGCCAGATCATTGCCTAGGGAGACTTCATACATTCCTGTAGCCCCTTCCGTTTAATACATCAGGAGCCAGGTGAGCCCCATCCCAGAGTGGAGAAGGGCCGCCTTCCCTCACATCAGGCTTGGTTCTGGGTGGGGCCAGGATGAAGGTATAGATGACAACAGGGAGATAAAGAAGCACCATTCCCTTCTCAGTCCATGTTTTATGGGCCGGTGAGAACTCTGCCTGTGTTCCAGTCTCTCCATTCTGCACCTTAGAACCCCCAAGGGGGCAGGAAATGTATCATTTGATGGGAACACTGGAGGCCCAAGGACTTTGCCTCATGTCTTGTTTGGAACGCTGGGAAGAAGCCGGCCAGAGAGCACCCTATGTATACACAGGCAGTGCTTTGTGGTTGGGCAGAGAAATAGGGAGTGGGTGTGACTCCCCCGATCTTGATCTCATGTGTGTGGCATGTGTGGAGCCTAGAAGTGCTCACTTGTCCCAGAGCTGCCAAAGGGAGCTGGCCCCTGGGGCTCCCCCAGGATGAGGAGTGAAGTGGTCCCACAGTGGAGACCGGTGGTGAACCTTGGCCAAGCTGAATGGAGGCTGCTCTGAGGGGTGGGTGAGCCAGGGAATGCCCTGAGGCTCCAAGCTCACCCAGACCAGGGCAGGCTGTGGATTAGCCAGCCACACACCTTTGCTGCAAATGCCGGCAGAGAGAGTGGCAACCCGATGACAGCGGGCAGCTGCGAGGGGACTACATGACTCCGCGCAACCCACCCAGGTTCCTAACGCCCCAAACTCACTCAAACCTGCCTCTCCCATTACCTGGCAGTCACCTTGGGGAGAAAAGCAGAAGGAAGGGGTGGCCATCTGCAAGATCGACCATTTTCATCCCAAAGAGACTGAGCATTTCCTACAGGAACTGTTTAAAATATTGCATCAGACTAAGTTTACCAGAGAAGGGGATATAAAGTTCTTTTTTCTTCTTCTTGCTAATTAGTGGGATGAAGCTTCTGTGGGAGATGAGCTCAGGTACAGACAAAATGAAGAAGCTGCATATTTTTTTTGAATACCCGAGATGGGTGAGAAAATGTATGACCACCAGTCCTCAGTAAGAATTGTTTTAAAAAAGAATTGAAGGTTGGCTAATGGAGTCTTTGGTGGTATTTATTTGACCACCCCTGAAACAGAGTGAATTAAAATCGGTATCAGATGTGTGAATCAGACCTCAGTTTTACACTATGGTTTGTTAATTAAGTATATTCCAGTTCAGTGCTCCCTATCTGATAATCAACTCAGTAAAAATTTTAAATTTCTCTCAATTTTGGCTTGTCATTTAAGCCCTTTCTGACAATCCAAGGTGATGCATACCACTTTCATCTGTCCCACAGAGTGCAGCTCTGTAAAGATATTGTTAGAAATAGAACTCTTGCTATAAAGAAACAGTCTATAAGTCAATACCAACAGGAGACCCCGAGTCTGTCGTGATCTGTTCTTTAATTTCAGCCCTATCATTTATCTTGAGCATGCTTGTTAAGTTCTCAGATTCAGTTTTCTAATCTGTAAAATGGGGGTGAAATGCTGAAATAAAAATATTCATGATGATGATGTCTAATAGTTACTAAGTGCTTGCCCTGTACCCATAGGTAGGCGCAATGTTCTGTCCATGAGGTATAAAGGAATTATTTGACTTGTTCTTAAGACCTATGGTAAGAAAGCCATGCATGGGTCTGGCCCCACAAGCACACAGTGCAAAAGAGAGTGAACGTGCCCAGATGCCTGGAGCCAATGAATGTATAAATCAGTATATCATGTCACTTGCGTTTACTTCAATTCTCTGTCCTTCATGGTGAAAATAATTTCCTCACATACAATGTTCTGGCCCAGCCATGCTGGGAAGGATGTTTCCTTTACTGCCCCCTAAGTGGTCCCAAAACCCCTGTGTCGTGGCGCTCATCTCACTGTACCATAATTCCTGGACGGGGTGTTGGTCTCCACAGAGAGACCACGGGTCACAGTGGATCTCCTCCATATGCCAGTCACACACTGGATCCTCCATAAATATTTGCTAAAGGAATGAATGGGTAAGGGAACATATGTGTGAATAAATGACTTTGTTCCTATTCACACTTGGGATGGAGAAAAGTGCTGCTCTCCCAGCTGGAGTGAATGAAGCCGGATGGGGACTGCAGTGCTGTGGGCAGTGGGCAGAGGGAAGGCTGGCTTTGTGCTCCCCTCTGGCTTCCTGGCAGGAGACCCTCCCCTCTGAGATTTGCAGCATGCTCTGCTCAGGTGTCTTTCTGAGGGGAATTGTCTTTAACAAGGACTCAAAACACATCACCATACTCACCCTCCTTGAGCATTTTCTCTCTTAATTTCTGCTCCAGTCTGCTTTGATGATCTTCTAATTCTAGCTCTTGGGCCCTGCGGATGAGAAAGCATTCAAACCTTACAAATACTAGAGATTTGTGTAGACGCACTGACAAATAAGCCCACTGACAGTAGCTACTGCATTCTTCTTCCCTCTTAAAGCTGGAATATCTCTAAACTGGACGTTTTGCTGCTGCCGGTCACTGAAGGTGCCGAGAGGGTTGCTGAGATGTGCTGGGCTCAGGAGATGGTGGGAGGAACTGAAGGGTGAATGTGACCTCAGTAGGCTTTAGGAAGGCCATGCAGGCCACCCTTTACTGAAGGGTCATGAAGAAAGGACTAGAATAGTCCAGGGGGAAGCAAGGACAATCTGAACCTCTTCTCTCTTTTGAGAGTAACATGACTTCAAGTATCACCTATAACCAATCCCAACTCTGATTGTGGTGGACAGGAAAAGGAGAAAGCAGAAACAGGAGACATTTTGTCCAGGTGGAGGCAACAAAACTCAGACAGCCATCTGGTTGTAGGAGCTGGGGAAAGAAGAGTCAGTGGGCCCTGGCCAGGTAGCTCAGTTGGTTAGAGCGTTGTCCAGATACACCAAGGTTGTGGGTTCAACCCCCAGCCAGGGTGCATACAAGAATCAACCAATGAATGCACAAATAAGTGGAACAACAAATTGATGTTTCCCTCTCACTCTCATCGATGTTTCTACCTCTCTATCCCTTTCCCTTCCTCTCTCTCTCTCAAATCAATAAAATAAAAAGTATACATTAAAAAAAAGAGGTGGGTCCATCATATTTTTGTGACTATATAGATAAGCATGTCTAATTCTGGAGTTTGGTTCATGTCATGGGTTGAATAATGACCCCAAAAAGATATGTCCACATCCTAATCCCTGGAACTAGTGAATGTGACCTTATTTGAAAAACGTTTTGGCAGATGTAATATATGTAGTTAAGTTAAGGACCTTGAGATGAGAACATTCTGGATTATCCCAGTTGACCCTAAGTCCACTGACAAGTATCCTTACAAATGAAGAGGACGACACAGATACCCAGAGAAGGCCACGTGAAGACAGAGGCAGAGAGTGGAGTGATGCAGCCACAACCCAAGGGATGCCTGAAGCCACCAGGGGCTAGACAGGCAGAGGGAGCATGGCCCTGCTAACATCTTGAGTCAGACTTTCCTCTTCCAGAGCAGTGAGGGAATACATTGCTGTTGTCATAAGACACACAGTTTGTGGTAATTAATTGTTCTGGCCCTAGGACAGTAATACAGACAGCAAGCTCACCTGGGCTCTCATATTTGGCCAAGCCATTATCGGTAATAAAGGTGATCTTTTGATGTTTCATCTAGTGGCTTGGTAGTCTTATTTCTCACCTGGTCCAGAACCCAGCCAAGGGAGAGGAACAGAATGTATTAGGAATCTTAAAAGATAGCTCCCCACTCCCCCAATTACCTCTCAGGATTGGGGTGAAGATAAAAGGAGACAGCATAAGTGAAAGCACAGTACAACATGTGGCACTTAATTGCTGTACATTAATGTTACTTTCTCTCCAGGATGGTGACAGGTATAGACCTTCAACTTTGTCAGAGTGTGTTGATATCCATCTCTACTTTCTTTTTTTAAAAAGCTGTTTAAGAATATTTTTTATTGATTTCTGGGAGGAAGGAAGGGAGAGAGAGGGAGAGAGAGAGAGAGAGAGAGAGAGAGAGAGAGAGAGAGAGAGAGAGAGAGAAACATCAATAATGATAGAGAATCATTGATTGGCTGCCTCCTTCATGCTCTACACTGGGGGTGGAGCCTGCAACCTGGGCACGTGACCTGACTAGGAATCAAACTGGTACCTCCTGGTTCATAGATCACGCTCAACCCCTGAGCCAGGGGTCCTCAAACTACGGCCCTGCGGGCCACATGCGGCCCACCGAAAACATTTATCCGGCCCGCCGGGTGTTTTTGCCGCCGCTGCCTGTTGCTTAGCAGCCGACTAGTTTTTTTTTTAAACTATAGTCCGGCCCTCCAACGGTCTGAGGGACAGTGAACTGGCCCCGTTTAAAAAGTTTGAGGACCCCTGCGAGCCATACCGGCCTGGCCCATCTCTACTTTCTGATCCTCAAACCAGGCTGCTGCCTCTTATTTAGAGAAGACAGCCAGACATCTCAGTCCTTCAACCCGCTAAAGCCATGGGAAGTGCCCAGGCTGCTCCCGCCACGCCTCTCCTGTGGTTCACGCTCAGAGGCCAGAGACATGCTTCCCTGTTGCAGGTGTGTGTTTGCAGGTGGGTCCCTTTGGCCTGGGCCGCAGAGATGGGTTGAAAATACTTTTTCCAAATGCCCCCCAGCTCCAGCCCCATTACCTGAAATCTATTTTAGCTACAGGACTTCACAGACAGAATAGATAACTGAAGATTCTCTGCACTAATGCCAGCATGATATGCAAGGCATCAAGTATCAATTTGCCTCAATCACAATTCTGTATGCACAAGAAGAAAAAAACCCCGGGATGGCCACCTAGGAGGGTGAGCCACCCCACTCCCGCCCCGCATTGCGTTTAGGCCTCACTGCTATCCGTGTTGCCTTACTTACATGATCAGTAGCTCCGACTCATATCGCATTAATTTATTCTTCTCCAGAACCAGCTTAAACCATTCCTGCAAAAGCTGGGCTTCATCCTGTGTGCCTGAATCTGCTTAAGAAATCAACGACAAATGGGTTAGATTGGCGCCTCTCTCCACCTGATCAAACTGTTTTGGAGCTACTTTAGTGGACCATGTTTGTAGCAAAAAGAACTCAGCAGGCAGCAGTCCCCCGATGGCCTGTTGATGCCTCCAGGTCAGGGACATGAAAAATAAAACCCACCTGTGAATGCTCTAGGGGCGGTCCCCTTTCACATTTAGGACATGAATACTTCAGTTCCAAGGTCATATACCCTTGATAATGTCCTGTCACAAATGACCCTTCTGCCTACTTATATGTTCTCAGTACAACTTCTATAGTTTGTGCATCACATCCTTCTCCGAAGAAAACCCGAATAACCCTGCTGGTTGGTGGGGCGTGGCTACAGTGTTTTGGACAGGTTCAAGCCTTGGACTGAGGAGAGGGCACAGTCCTCTCATTGCCACATGCAAGTCCCAGCTTGAAGGGCAGAGCCCACCCAGCACAATTATAGCCAAGAGCTTTAGTTGTAAGCTTGAACCTATGGTCCGAACACGTGGCCCCATGTGCCTGAGTGATGTGGGCTTGGTAGAGTTCAGGTGCATTTAATTGAGTAGGATTGAAACCCACGAGAATGGCCGTAACCGGTTTGGCTTAGTGAATAGAGCGTCGGCCTGCGGACTGAAAGGTCCCAGGTTTGATTCCGGTCAAGGGCGTGTACCTTGGTTGTGGGCACATCCCCAGTAGGGGGTGTGCAGGAGGCAGCTGATGGATGTTTCTCTCTCATCGATGTTTCTAACTCTCTACCCCTCTCCCTTCCTCTCTGTAAAAAATCAATAAAATATATTAAAAAAAAAAAAGAAACCCACGAGAATGTTGTAAACATCTTGATCATGCCCTTACTTTGCCTCGTGGCATCTGCTATAAAATAAAGACACAGCTTGTGGGCGCAGGCGCTGTCCATCAGAGGGGCAGCGTCCCACCGAGACCCAGCTTTCATTCTCTTGTCTGTCTTTTCTAAGCCTTTCACCACCCCCGCTCATTGAACCGGGCTGAGCTGGCATGGCACATAAGGCGCCCTAGGGCTGAGTATGCCATGGCTGTGCCAGCTCGCCACACTGGTTACTATCCCCTTCTCCTCCAATATCAAATGCCCACTGAGTGCCCAAGTGGGGTGTGGCTTCCTTCATGGGGCAGAGAAGCTCATACCACATTTGGTCATAAAGGAGTGGTGATTGGCATTTAGATTTTTGGCAAAAAGAAAAGGCAAATGAATAACGTTATTAGCTTTGAGATTCATAGAGAAAAGTTATATCCATATAATCTTATAACTTAGATTACAATCTTTATAGCCATATATTCTTATAACTTAGATTATGGTTAAGCATCTCTGAACCAGGAGGTCACAGTTTGATTCCTGGTCAGGGTGCATGCCTGGGTTGCAGGTTCCATCCCCAGTGTGGGGTGTTCAGGAGGCAGCTGATCAATTATTCTCTCTCATAATTGATGTTTCTGTCTCTCTCTCTCTCCCTCTCTGAAATCAATAAAAATATATTTTTAAAGATGAATTCCCTTATCTCCCTGTCTCCTTTTGTTAATAAGGAAAATGGGGTCCAGAGAGATGTATATGCAATGCTCTAAACTATATATTTAGTTAATGTGCAAACTGGTGCTACAATGCAGCTCTTAATTTCTGCTGAATTCATTCATTCATTCATTCATTCATTCATTCATTTATGACATAGGTGCTGGGTAGTGCCTTACGTACTTGGGATACAGTGATAGGTAACCCATCAAGGGATCGTTCTCAACCTTCTATAGACCCTTAATGCATCCAATTGGTATCATCCAGCCCACATTTCTATGTCTTGTCTGATAGGAAACTTTGGTAACAAAGTCATTTCCTGAAATCAAGCTTTCCAACGTGGGCCATGTCCATCGGCACCTTGCAACTCCACTCAGAAAAGGACATGACATTTGTTTTTCATGGCTTCTTAGTAAACACCAGTGGTTCCTTAGTAATCTCTAAATGTCTTTCTAAATAGTCACAATTTTAAAAATAATCCTACCTAGAATTTTGACAGGGATCAGAATTCATGTTTCTTTCCCAGGTGGAAAGTAGAAAATGTGCTCGTCTCTAGGTCTTTGGGCTCTGCAAGGCTTCCTGAGTTTTCAAAGACTGAGGTTGCATCTGCAAGTGTTTTCAACACCAGAGGGTTAATGCGGTTCATTCAACAAATTCTGATTGAATAATGCCACATCCAAGCCTCTATGTATGTATCATCTTACACCAGGACTTAGAAATCTGAGTTTATTGTTCTCCCTTTTTTCTCACCTTTCCAGATTCAATTTCCTCTTCTAGATGGTTGTTTAACATTTCTAGATTGAGGACCATTTGCCTCGATAAAGAAAACAGAAAAGCTGAGAGTTGAGAATCCTGCTTTTCCCCATCGTGTGACATGATACCATCTGCCTCAGCACAGGGTCTGTTCTCTCCTTGTTTCCAATCCAAAAGAAACAGCACTATTTTGCCGTCTTCAGAGTATTTTTTGTTGTTGTTTTTCAGATTCAGCCTCTTTGCTGCATTATACCCTCAGGCTCCAGCCAGACTTTTATCCTGGATTTCATGTCCCTTTTCCAATCTTCCTTATGTGTCCTTCTAAAATCTGGCCCACTAGAGAGTCCCCTGTGCAGTCCCACTAATTTCTTTTCTTTGGAGATATATATATATAATATATTTGTATTATATATATATATAATAACAAATATATATATAATATATTTGTTAATCCTCACCCGAGGGTATTTTTCCATTGATTTTTAGAGAGTGTGGAAGGAAGAGGGAGAGACAGAGAGAAACATCGATGTGAGAGAGACACATTGATTGGTTGCCTCCTGCACGCACCGTGAGCAGGTTCGGGGGAACCTGCAATCAAGGTACATGCCCTTGACCAGAACTGAACCCAGGACTCTTCAGTCCACAGGCAGATGCTCTATCCACTGAGCCAAACCGGCTAGGGCCCCACTGATTTCCATTGGTGCTGTTCTCCACAAACACAGGTTGAACTGAATCGATTTAATTTTTTTTCCAATGGAGTAATTTGTAATTTTATAGCCTCCAGTTCACTTTTTTTTAGAGGCTTCCTTTCCTCAGTAGTCAAAAATCCCTTTAAGGGATCTTCAAATGTGGACTCATGTGCAGATTCCCAGGAAATCTGCCTTTCCAAAGACTTGGATCCAGGGGATTGTGCCTTCCCCATACTGGCCTTGCTCTCAACTCTAAGGATGCACCGAGACTTTGCTCCATGATCTCCAAGACTCACTGCCTCCCATCAGAAAACGTCCTACGGGTCCTAGTGAAGCCTGGACCAGCGTTGCCCTCACTGCAGAAGTGGCAGAGGGCCTGGGCTTGGAGATCCGGCGGACCTGGCTCAGCCACTTACCCAATGTGTGACCTTGGGCAAGCAGCCTCACATCTCTCCACCTCCGTGTCTTCGGGTGAAAAACAGGGATGATCGTAGTACCTGCCTCCTAATTAGTTATGGGGATTAGGTGAGATGATGCATGTAAAGTGCTTACCACGGGGGTTGGCACATAGTAAACAGCCAATAAACTGTCCCTTTGCTGTTAGTACCTGCTGTTTCTTCCAGTGTCCACTTCTATATAGTTTCCTGTGGGTTATTTTCAGTTCACCTTTAAAAGTCAGCTAGAGTGCAATCCTTGACTTGGTTATACATGCCTAAATTTTGCCTTGTGACTTCACTTGAGGTTAATAAAAACTCTTAACAAATTATTATTATTTTTGGCCCCATGTAAATGAGAAGGTCAGAAGGCTGCTGGCTCATCAGCACCTGCTCGGGAGGACGCCAGTGCTCTGCCTGCAGGGATCATTGGCTCAGGCACGTCTCCATCTGTGGCTGCTGTGGGACTGGAGTCCTCTCTAAGGCAGGGGTGCGAGGCCTGTGTCTGGGAACCAGGGCGCAGCTAGAATGGTGCTGCCGGAGGGCGCGCAGCCCTGGCTCTATCTAGATTGCTCGGCCACCTACCCCTGACTGCCTCCTCTGCCAGTGTTGCCACCGGCTGGTCTTCATTCGCTCACGTGTACTGTACTCATAGCATGCCTTTTCCTAGACAGACTGCAAGGTTTCCACTTGCTCGGTGGAGCAAAGTAATCAAAACTCAACACAACTTTTTTTAATGGAGTTATATTTTGTGCTTTCAAAATATATTTTTATTGATTTCAGAGAGGAAGGGAGAGGGAGAGAGAGATAGGAACATCAATGATGAGAGAGAATCACTGATCAGCTGCCTCCTGCACACCCCACAATGGGGATCAAGCCCGCAACCCAGACATGTGCTTTTGACAATCGAACCTGAGGCCCTTCAGTCCATAGGCCAACGCTCCATCCACTGAGCCAAACCAGCTAGATCTGGAGTTATTTAAATTGACCCAATTTTCCCCAAGTGAGCTCTAAAAACTACAAAGCAAGTTTGGTTACTCCCTGCTGAAGTTGTCCGATTACCCTCCACATTCAAGTTCAAGTCACCTAGCTGGACAACACTTCGTCCCTGCTTCCAGTAGAGGGACTGGCACTTATGGTCAGTAACTTTTTCCCCAGCGAATAATAACACACGAACAATCTACTCTTTAAAGTCACAGGTTTTTAACCATTTTCTTTTGTTGGCAATGCTGAATACTTCTCTGACTGTGTGCTGGGGTGTGATTTTTTCCAGGTTGGGTCTTGTTTAAACACTGTCTGATTTTCAACTCTCTGATTCTTCAGACGTGATTTCCTGCCTCCATAGAATCTGTGAGAATCCTTGTCTGGTGTTTGCTGCGCTTCTGTGTCGTCTACATCCTCACGATGACCTGGGCATGAAGGGCAGTAGAGGAATTGCAGCCAGAACCCTCTGTCACTGTGCAGGCGTCTCCCCCGGAACGGCGGGGGTGCAGCCTCTGCCTCTCCTTGCTGGCCTCTGGTCGGCTCTTAGCTCCTGTGCTCATCCCCAGCCTATTTCATTTAAATCTCTAGC